ACGGCTGCTTTGGTAAGTGCAGTTTATTCTATAGGATACGTACGTTTCAAAGCGCAGCGTCTAGATGGCGTTCGACCGTACTCTATGGAACACAGAGGCCTTAAAAGAAAACCTAGATGGCGCTTCGAACGAAGGGGAGGCGGATTGAAGTGAGTGAGGGGGGTACCTCTTTCCGCGGAAGTTTCAGAACTGTGGTCATCTAGTAACGTTGGGTGGAGCTGCGGTTGATTGGTTGTACCGCGTACTTGAGCACCCTTATGACGTCACGTCGCGTCCGCACGGCTGATGATCAGTGTTACCATCCCTCTAGCGAAGAGTTTCGGTTTTGCGTGGACGCACTAAACCAAATATGGTGCCGTAATATTTATAAAACTACACAGAATATCGAGAAACAAATACCTTGTAATTCAGGGACACTGCTTTCGCTGAAAACAGTTGTAATCCCAAATTAAAAAAAAAAAAAAGGATATTGACCGGAGTTGCCCTTTAAGGGGGGACATGGCCTGGGAGGGTCAACTTTTGAACCATTGTCTCAAATTGATTCAAACTTTCAGTGTGAATTGAACCCCATTAGGATTGGTGACATCTAAAGTTTCAGTCTTATAGGCTGATTCTACAACATACTATGCTTAACAAGCTCCAGAAAAAAGTTACTTTATTAGGAAATGTATTTAAGAAAAATTATAATTGCAATCCACAAAATGTTTGGTTTAATGTGAAGTAGAATACCCGTAGTGCAAGTTAAGGTAAAAATTAATTGTAGAAAATGCAATTCTAGAGAAAAACAATAACACCCAAAAAGAGCAAACTATTTTAACAAATTTCTGAGTTTTAAAATATTCAGTTTTTGTCATTAAGAATTTAGCCTTTTCACAATATGAGTACCTTAACTTGTTCCTCAGAAAATTTCAGTTCAGGACACCACTGAATAAAATCTTTACACTTTCAAAATGTCCAATGATACATTTCCTCATACCACATTTCCTGTCAAAAAGTGAAACTGAGAAAAATGCATTTGAAGTTTGAACTTTACGTTTCTTTCTTTTCTGTGAGTCCGAGGTAGGTAAAATTCACCTGGCGCTTTGTTAGCACCTTCCTCTTTGAGACTTCCCTATTCCCCTGGCAATAGCTTCCAGTTTGTGTTGTTTGTAGGCACGCTGACATTTGTAGCCGGCATTCCCTGACAGATAAACTCACAAGAACTAAGAGGAAAATCACACTGAGGAAGAGCAGCAAAGCAGGAATAGGATCTGAAGTGGAAGGTACTGTAAAGGGGCGTTACTGAAGATGGCACAATATCACGTCACCGGGAAGGAGCAATCGTAAACCCTGTTTCAGGTCTCCACCAATAAGATTGCTAATACCAAATTTTCAGAATTTTTTCTGTTTGGATGTATTGGGTCCTCCTGGCCATTGATACTTTTAAACTTGGAAAGCTTCTACGGGCTAAATCTAGAGTAAATGGTATTTCCAATGAGGGTGAGATGCTCTGGCTATGTTAAACGAGTATGAAGCAGCGCTAAATAAAAAACGCAAAAAACTTGCTCCCTGCTGACTCAGAGGGCTGCCGACAGGTCAAAAATAATTTATTCTGAGATAAATCCTACATGTTTATAAATGAAAATTTCTGAAACTATTCTTTGGAAGTTAATAAGCATAAACATATCATTTTTGAAAAAAAGATTTTTTCTGAAAATTTTGAATTCCGAGGCCATGTCCCCCCTTAAAGGGGCCCTGCAATCATATTTAAGCATTTACCTTTTTTGTGGTTTCCACGTCTCTTGAAGTTTGGGCAAGCCAGGGGGCACGGAGAGAGTAACTAAATATCAGTGCGTCATATTTTAACCGGACGACGCAGAAACCTCCTCCACCGACGAGGGCGACCCGCGGTACCGAAAGCGCGCAAAATGTGACGTCTTTGGTCCTGGGCTTACTACTGGTCAGAGCCGCTAAAAGCTTCTTTTTAGTCGAAATACAAAATATAAGTGTCGCGAACTGCTTCAATTACTTATAAAAGTAGTTTTTGTTCACTATTTTAGATGAGAAAAGAAACAAATGCAGTCTATAAAGTACGGAAACAAGAAATGACCCGTCGACATTCCCGCCACCAAGCGGTGGAAAAGGCGGCGCATACTAGAAAGATGTAGTGGGATCAGGCGCCGACACGGAAAGGTCCCGGATGTACGCGGCAGCGCTGCGGTCGTTTGGGCAGGAGGATCCGACCGGCTCCGAGCCTTCCGAAGGCCGTCGGCGAGATGCTTTGTCTTGCGGTTTGGCCGTTTCGCGGTATGGCAACGCGAAGTGGCTCCCACTCTGAACTGATCTTTACCCCGTGTTTGCTGTCGTTTGTGGCCAATGAAGTGTAATGCCGAATTAGTGTTTAATCACGCAGCAAAGGCAATGAGAGCCGCTCTGGCTGCCCGCTGCATACAGCCTGTCCAGAATACGCTTTAGTGGCGCCCCCTCGCGCCGTCGACACGGAATGCGGCAGCTGTGAGCGCTCGCGATGAGCTCACTACCCCTCCTCTAGTTCACGGCCGCTCAAGCAACCAAGGACGTCGTGAGGGAGGTTATTTTTTACTTGTTTTTGTAATTTTGATTTGCCTATAACTTTTAAAATAAAGCGAATTTCAAGAAAATAAAAGTTTCACTAAGTTACTAAGTTCAGTGCGCTCAGGTTTGGTGCAAATTAAAAATTAGTAAAAAAGTGCTTGCAGGGCCCCTTTAAAGGCCGACGACCAGATTCAAGATTCTGCAAGGCAGAAGATCCTCCTCACCGTGGGGGAGGAGAAAACAGGCAACGGTGGACAGGGTAGAAGGGGGGAGAGGAGGAAGCGAAAGTGGAAGCGCCAACTGGTCGTCGGCCTTGAAGTGATGGTTCCAGCAACCGGGGGAAAATGTGGTAACTTTTGCACTAGAGCTGAAGCGATTGGCGGCGTCGTACGACTTCGGGGTATTTCGGACGACGCTGGTCGGGATCGTTGTGTTGCCGGGCTTAGCGACACAGAAACCCAAGCGCAGTTGCCAAAGAAGAGCACGTTGGCGTTCGCAAATGCCTGGGATATCGCGAAGAGTATCGAGCTGGCCTGCAAAGAAAGCCAGTAATATCAGCCCAGCCATGCCCAAGGCACAGTCAGTGCTCTCCACCATAATCCTGACAATGGGGAACGCCCACCGCGACGGGAGAAATCGTCTGCTACGGCTGGATCATCCAGAGCAAGAGCGTCGAAGTCATCAAACTGTTTCCGGTGCGGCTGAGCGCACGAGGAGCTCACCTGCAAATTTCGCAAGTATCGCTGCGGTTCTTGTAAGCGTTACGGGCATTTCGCGAAAATGTGCAGGGGTGGAGCCGGAGACTGCAAACATTGTAGTGGAGGAATTTGACCGGGACAAAGTTGGGCTGTACAATGCTCATTCTAGTGAAGGGTGTTCAAGACGTTACGAGATTTCCTTGGAAGTAGCCTAGAAGATACTGCGCTTGCAGATAGACACAGGCGCGGCGATCTCGAGTGTACCGGAAGATGTACAGTAAGTACTAGCCCACTCTACCTTTAGAGCCATGCCGTCTAAAGCTAAACACCTATGACGGAACGCCACTGGCAGTGGCCGGGAAGCTGTGTGTTCCCGTCAAACATAACGGTGAGCAAAACCAGCTTCTGCTTATTGTCATGAAGACACGCGACAATGGCAGCACTGCGTTGATTGGACGTGACTGGCTGACGGCTTTGAAGTCGGACGGATCTACTGTGCGTGGATACGTGCCTAGACAAAATGTCGGCGCTGCTTAAAAAGTACGCTACGGTTTTTGAGCCTACGATGGGCCAAACCGAGAGTAGCGCATGAAACTGGTTCTAAAAAAGGGGGCACACAGCTAGTTCGCAAAGCGCGAAAAGTGCCGTTCTCGTTCAGAGAAGCCGTTTCATTAGAGCTGCAGATTGTCGTAAAACCAGGAGCTCTTGTACCTGGACAGCAAAGTGACCCTGCGACGCACCTTGTAGTTGTGCCAAAAACGAACGAGCAAGTCCGGGTGCGTGGTGATTTCAATGTGACGCTCAGTCCGTTCTCACGAACAGATCATTACCGCCTTCTCGTTATCGAAGATCTGTTCGTAATGATCTCCGGACGCAAATATTTGGTTCATGGCCTCCCTACTGCCTATTAGCTGCTCGCACTGCATCCAGAGCCCGTCGCTAGTCGTTGTCAACACGCACCTGGGACTGTTCAAGTACACTCGCTCAACCTACGGCATCACGATTGCCCTGTGCATCTTTCAGGCAGTGATGGATGAAGTGTTGAAAATGCCAGATCGCGAATCATGCTACTTAGATGACATTCTGAAAGCAGATTTTGACGATTGTTTACATAAAGTGAAAAGTGCCCTGTCACAGTTCCAGGCATACAATTTAAGAAAGAAAAATGCAAGTTCGGTTAAAAGTCAATCATATATATATATATATATATATATATATATATATATATATATATATAAATGAACAAACACAGAAGTATCAGGAGCGAATATTTCCTCTTCCTACTTTTTCTCCTCCCCTGTAATATATCAATAGATATTTGTAACGTTGATAATGAAATAAAATAATCATAGCAGGGGTACGAGTTGTGTCGAGATACGGATAATAAATGTTTACGTTCAAAACACTATTACATTACCATATCCTGGTTATAGCAGTATTAAATTACGTTTCTGGCAGATATGTATAATACAGAGATCGATTATTCGAACGATCGTTTTGTTGTGCCAATTCATATTGCTCCATTGCTGTAGCCGAAGAGAAGTTGCTTCTACTTAAAGACAATTTGTCGAAAATAGATATGACTAGAATATATGTGACTTCGCGTATTCGACAGCTTACATTTCCATTAAAAACTGCTAATTGCAAATTTCTGGTTTAAATCCTTAAATTGAGAGCTTTGAGAAAACTTAGGCTCTCCAAGATATGTTCGTAAAACAAAGTAGTCGTTGTAAGAGAGATATAGTTTGGTCAGATCTGTCATTTCTTAAAAGCTTTAGGTGAATGTATTGTGAGATGTTTGTTTGTGTATATACTAACCTAAGCTGAAATACTTACCGAAAGTGTCTCTCTTCCCATAAATTTAAACTTCACTTTGGGGTTATCAACGCTCAAGTATCTTAAATTCACCTGAAAAAAAGATAATAGTTCGGCTTATGTTGAAATATTACGTTTGAAACTATAAATATCAAAAGTTTTACTTGTTTTTAAATGTTGCGTGAAATGTATACCCATTATATCCTTCAGTTATTGTCGGCACTCGTCTCCATTCTTCTCCAACGTTTTTAACATTTTGCAACAAATTAGAATAGAATTATATTTAATACTCGATGCACAGCACACACAAATATTTTCATTAAATTCGGCACTTTTATGCGCGCGTACCCTTGAGGCAACAACAATTTAAGTAAGCTGTCTGTAGCAAAGTTCAAATGAATTATAGAGTCATTTAAGCAACGCCGTTGAAAGGTGAAGTGTGCTATAAATAGTAAATAGTATGTTTGCCACGTTAACGCATTATCTAAAATTCATATTGTCTACTTGAATCAACACATACAACGTAGTTATATGACTCCTATCAGTATGCTCTTGTATTATTTTCTGATCTACACAGATTACATGTGGAAGAAGGCAACGAAACAAAACTTAACAACACTACTTGTAACACAGAAGAAACTATTTCGCACGATTGAAAATGTTTGTTATTAACACTCTTCTGAATACGTTTAACGATAAGATAATCATTTAAACAGCTATCATTTGATGGGAGTCTACAATACGGCAGTAAAACAAAATTAGTTTTTTTTTCTTCTTTTTGTACTATAATGCCTGGTGAGAACAAACAAGACGTATGGAACTAGAAATAGAGAGAACTGGTGTATTACCGAACCCCATACTAATTATAGATTAGCCTCATTAAAATATACGCTATCATCACTTTTAAATCAGCTTGAGGGTGAAAATATTGACCTTACTAAAAAGGCAAAGGGTATCCTACGAGATGAGTTTTTAGAAACAAAATCATAACGGTGTTCTTTGCAGCTAATCGATATAATAAGGTTAAGTTTATTTTTTTTTTTTTTTTGCTTGTGTTGTCTGAAATGTTTCTGCCGCTTTTCTTCCACACTGAGATAGGGCCACGTCAAGCTGCAAGCTATGCAGTTTTTTGCCCTATCTCCCTCCTTTGTATATAAATGAAGTAAAAATATATCGATCAAAGCAATGTTCTAAAGCATGATCAAATCTAAGCACAATCAGCATATATTTGCGGATTTCGCAATAATTAAATACGTTTTTTGTTCTTATTACAGCAATTTTGTTGTAAAGTATTAAATCACGAGTCATTCTATAAAGAAATAAAACAAACTATTCCCCCGCGCCACTTGATGGCAAACAATAATTTCGCTGTGATACCAGCCGAGATTCCTGTTACCTCTTCAGACGTCTGTCGAACTTCATATTACCAATTTTTCCAGCTCGGAACCATTCTGGAGCAAATTATGTCTAAGCTTAAGTGCTGCATGATTACGCACAGTTCTGCTCTTACCTGCTATATTTAGCGTAAAAACGTTTCTCGATAAGTTTAGCGGAAATACTGAATCGGTGCTCAACTATTCTTCCGTAGGGTGTCACTCTAACCACCCGCCGACGCATAAGTTAGGGTGCGCTCTGAGTGATTGCCTTCTACCGCTCCCTTTCTTATTGTCTGTATTACTACACACCAGCTCAGGCCAGCAAGGGCAACACTTTTATCTAATGCTAGCGGAAAAAGTGAATTGTGGCATTTATGTATACAGGCACACAGTTTATTCAATCATCTAATTGCGAAAGATAGATGCACTCAGTTCCAAAGTTTGTTGGCTATAAAGACATGTCATTCTCAAAAAGTGATAGGCATGGCGAGTCTGACGAATCTCATTTTCGTTTACTAGCCAATTAGATTGCGTAATTCCATGTGTTTCTCAAGGAAACACTACAATAAAAAATAACGTTTTTTTGTTTGTTTCTTTCTAAATGGACAACTATATATTGTCACGAATGAAGGTGACGAAAAGCCGAACAGTGAACTGAAAATAAAGGTTTACTGGGCGAACTTGTGCCAACCAAAGATAAGTAACGAAAGAGCGTCGAGGCAGCAGAAAAGCAGGCGGCGATTCAGCGGCGATACAGAGAGCGAGACTGACTTGACAAGGATGCGGGCAGCTGCTTATCTACGGTACGTCACTATCTCGAAAGTTCGGCAAAGGAGGCTCGAGTGTCCCGCGCTCGGGGCGAGGATGAACTGACACTTTCGAGAATAACAAAGCAGAGGGAAAGTTACGTTTGGTGCGAGAATGAACGCGAATCTTCTAGAAGACCGTGACCAAGCGTTGCTTTCTCGGCTTTGCGGGCGGCATTATCCCCCCTTTTAAAAGTGCATCGCCCCGATGCAAAGCGAAAGGAAAACGGAAATGGCTATAACATTTACGATGAAACGAAATAAACATGCAGTGTCACAATCCTAACGCGCGTAGAACGGCTTGAGTCGAACTACGTGGACGACTTCGGGTCGTCGCTGGCGGCGTCCTGATGGGCGAGTTCCGTCGGGGAGCACCTCGTAGTTCAAGACCCCAAGGCGGCGGATGACCTTGTAGGGTCCGAAGTAGCGTTTTAACAGTTTCTGGCTGAGTGTGCGGCGGCGAATGGGCGTCCACACCCATACCCTGTCTCCGGGCTGGAACTCCACGTCGCGGCGGCGAAGGTTGTACCGGCCAGCGTCCACACGTTGCTGGTCATTTATCCGAAGACGGGCTAGCTGGTGTACTTCTGCTCGTTGGGTGACCAGCTGGGCGTCGTCGGTGCCGTCGTCCGTCGGGTCGTGGGGCAGCATGGCGTCGAGCATCGTCGTCACCTTTCTGCCGTGCACCAGCTGAAAGGGTGTAATGCCGGTAGTTTCTTGAATCGCCGTGTTGTACGCAAACGTGACGTAGAGCAACACTTCATCCCACGTCTTGTGTTCCACGTCCACGTACATCGAAATCATGTCGGCGACTGTCTTGTTTAGTTGCTCCGTCAGCCCGTTGGTTACGGTTGGTGCGAGAATGAACGAGAATCTTCTAGAGGACCGTGACCAAGCGTTGCTTTCTCGGCTTTGCGGACGGCAATATTTATATAAAAAAGATCTACCAGAAAAGAAAAAAAGAATCATTTTCTGACCAATATTTACGTTGCTACCCTATTGGAAAAACGTACAAGAAACAAACCTGCTGCTTGTACAGTCCTGGTATGACACCACCATAATTTATTGTTATTATACATGCAGCTAATTTGGTTTTGCGTTCTCCATAACTGGAGATACCGGCACCGCTATGGCTCCGGGTCTGTCTATACTGGCAGCCGGTTTGCTCGCCGATATGACTCGGTATGGCTGGTATGATTTTGCGTCCGATGACGTAGACGACCGCCATCTTTCCAACGAAACGCCTATACCACAAGACCACCGGTATAACTAAACCATACATGCAGAAAGACGACCGCCATCTTCCAACAAAAACGTCCATCGTTTACCACCGGTATTGTTACATACATCATACATGTCGAAAAATAACATAAGCCGCGTTTACATAAATGCGACTTAGTCGCATTGAATCCAGTTGCCGCATTCAATATGCGGTCATGTAAACGGCATAATGCGCAAAGCGCATCGCATTAAAGTCGCTAGACAGAGGTGGATTGAGATGGCGAGTGCGCATTCATTCAGCCCATGTAAACGAAGATCGCATCGCATTTTGGAACGGGGAGGATTATCGGAAGGCGCTCGCTGCGGGAGCGAGTGAACAGCTGAGAACATGGTGGCGGCCAACCTCGTCGGCGGCGCGGAGAGCGGTCCCGCAATTTTTTTCCCGAGAACAAACGCAAGCTTTTATTGCGATCATAAGTAAGCGGAATTTAGCGGAGCTGCTCGGTGAGGGCGGCCCCGTCCAAACCTTTGCGAAGTACGACTTGCGCGTCCGAAGGGGTCACAAAGGCTTCGGTGCAAGCACGCATGACACCGAGAGCTCCGATCACTGTAGAGCACTGCATGGTTGCGCAGAACGAGCAGCTCCTACCTCGCTGCCGTTCCTGGCTGCGCAAGAGCCTCTCGGACTCGGGGTCTGGTCGCGATCGGCGAGGTCTGGCGCGGCGAAACGTGGAGGCTTCCTCAAAGCGTGCACACACACGTCGCCTCTCGTTCAGAGTGGACCGGCGGCCCGGACTGGAGTCCTAAACGCCTTGGTTTTGATGCTTCTTCCGTCTCCCAACTTCTTCCACAGCACCGAAGACAGCGGGCGCGATCTTTACGTTCACTGAATGCGTCGAAAGGCCTCCACGTGCGATGCACCGGAAAACGTGGTGCGGCTGGTGCCGGAACGGAACTGACGGAACTGCATAACTTCGAGCTTTGAGTCAACGTGCACGGCAACAAACCGATCGTGACACTAAGCCGCGGATACCGCATCGCCGGTCGACAGGGGCAAATGGCCCGTTGCTCGTATCGTGGGCCGTGACTCGTACTCGGCCAACTCGGCGTCTTTTCGTGGCCCCTCGCGTCGTCGCAACCAGCCGCAAACATACCAGCCCGCGACCGTGGCCGATGTCGGAGAAAAGCGAAACCGAAACGTAAAGCTTCCGCCCAGTGGCTTCCGCTGCCGCGCCTTTTCTAACTTCCCGGCCAGTCCCGGTTTACACGCTTCCGGTCGTCGTGGAGATGGCGACGCAGCCAGACGTAGCGGTTTTGGCGCTGGCTCCTTCTGCGTTTTACGGGACAGATGTTTTACGGTCCGTTTCTACTGCGTCTCTGGCTCTCAACTCGACGACGCCTCTCATGGTTCAACCAGGCGTGGTCAGCCGGGGTCAGCACAGCGCGGCCGGCTCAACTCGTCCGATCGCCGGACCGCAGGCGACTTCCGATTTCGGCCGTTAGGCCCAGGATCCGAAGGACTCTGTTTCCGTGAAGCGGTAAGCGAATCTCGTCCCGTTTTCGTTCTACTTTTAAATTACGTTAGGTGCGCTACAGTGTAAGCATGCGTGCCAAGTGTTCGTGACAATTTTGAACTAGAATAATTGTGCTTCATTGCGGTTTGTCATTTACGAAAAAGTAAATCGAGCAA